TAGCAAAAATTCTCGCAGGTTGTAGCAAAAAACATGTACGGTTGGAGCAAAAACGTCGCTCGCACAAGGATCGCCGGTGTAGCATGCAGCACGCGACGAAGCCGGTTGTAGCTGAGTGGTGTGCCGGTGGTAGCAAAATGTGACACCGGTTGTAGCATGCAACAAAAAACACGACGTTTACAATGTTCTTTCAGGACAGCGCCGCCATCCTCGCAGCTCGCGGTCACCTTGCTCGCCGTCCGTGGATGACAAATGAAAAGCTGCAACCGGCGGTTACGAAAGCTACAACCGGCATTGAAAAAAGCTTCAAACTTCTTGTCTAGCTGCGACCTCCGCGACGATGATGACGCAATTTTGCTGCAACCATAGTCGATGTTTGCTACAACCGGTGATGGAATTTGCTACATCCATTTCACAGCTGGTGCTATTGCTCCGCTGAGCTCCCACGCCCGCCCATGGCCATCACCGCCGTGGCACCGTTCCGAGAGGTGCCTGACGACGCAGTGGCCGAGATCCCTGCGCGATGCCCATCCTCGCTCGTGCGCGCCGCCATGGCCTGCGCCTCCTCGTATCATCCCCGCGATTCCTCCGCGGCCATCAGTCGACGGCGCGGCCATGGCGATGAGCGCAGCCATGGAAACCGCACGGCAGCGTTGTCCCTCAGGGTGGACGACACGAGCAAGCTTTCCGGCCCGCTCGTGGCCCGTTCAGGACCGGACTGTACAGTCCAGGACCGGTAGAAAATCTGCTCGGTCCGGGCTGCAATTTTCGGCCCGAGAAACTGTCGGTCCGGTCCGGTCTTTAACCGAGCCGCTCGGTCGGACCGAGAAAACGTAGTCACCGCCGCTGCCGTGCCTCCTCGTCGTGGCCACCGGTAGCCACCGTGTGAACCATCATGTCCCCGAGCTTCCCCTCTCATCCCTTCCTCACTTTCCAGTGCGCCACAGCCTCTTGGTGCCGCTCGCCATCGCTGCCGTGCGTGCACTGGCGCCGATCTGAAGTTCTCGACCATGGAGTCGACCCCAAACCTGGCACCAATCCTGCCATGGCGACAACACGTACACCGGTTACCAGCTGCCCCAGGTCTGAAAACGCGTCGCCGGCACAACCAGAAATAACTGGACATGATCCGAATGCTCTGAGGGTGAAGCCACCGCTGCTATTCGAGGAGTCCCTCTGTGCTCGTGGGGATTTCTCACGCACTTCAGTTTCGTCAGTTTCGTCAGTGTAAGAAGGAGCAATAGGAGAGAAGCAGATCGTATGTTCATGTATCTGTCGAGAGTTACAAATGTACAGAGAAGAGGAGGATGCAGGTGCGGCTACTACGCTAACAAACTCTGTAACAAACTCATCTAGATAAGCTCGTGCGATCATGCACTAGAGACTAGGACGGGTAGTTACAGAGAGAGAGAGCTACGTTGGTTCAGTTTCAACAGGTTCAGAAAATTCAGTTTGTTGGTTTCGCCCAAGTTTCAGTTGTTAGCTAATTTCTCACGCACGTAGGCGCTCGCGCACGTCGTCCACTTCGTCCCATCAGTCATGCACGTACCCCACCTCGCCGCTGCACTCGCACACATCAACGCCGGTAGTTGTTGGTCGGTCCATTCGGTCCAGTCGGTCTAGCTCGGGCTTCGTCAGCATCGGTCCGGTCCCCTAAAACAGGACCGCTCACCTCCTCGGTCCGGTCCGGTCCGGCCCGCCGGCGGTCGGTCCAAACGACGGCTTGGACCGGGACCGGACCGGCCCGGACCGTGTCCACCCTGAGTTGTCCCTGAGGGGCGCACGAACAGCACAGGAGGCACGAGCTGATGGCTGGCCTGGATCCATGGAGTTTCATGCCTGGGCGAATGCGAGGAAGAAGGAGTGGATGGGGCGTTGGGGAAAGGATAAGGTACATGTGTTGCCTTCCTGGTGGCTAGCGCCAGCGAGGCGAAAACGACCGGCCCGAGTGTTCCAGCAGCGCACCGCGCGTAAACACTTCCCTTAGAGGAAACATCGGGGAGGAGGGGAGGTGGAGGAGATGTGCGGCGTGGCTTCTGTGGAATAGAGGAGGCCGGAGAGCGGCGTTGGGGCCATGGCGTGCGGAGCGGCAGCGGCCAGAGCTCAGTTCGATCGGTCCCATGGCTCCTGTTTGGATAAGGCCTGGATGGGTGGGGTGATGAGAGCCCAAGAGTATTGATGCAAAAGTGAAACGAATGGCGGTCGTCTTTTTGTAAAACAACCGTTTCGTACGTGTAAGATGCTTGTAAAACAGCCGTTTCGTACGTGTAAGATGCAGATCAGACGGTCCAAAACAATATATGTCAGGCACATCATCATCAACTCAGTTTTTTATAGGAGTAGAGATACTGGAGGTAGAGGGACAACAAAGATATGCAACCCCAGTAAAAAGCCACCAGGCTCTAAAGTCTTTAAGTTCCTACCGTGCCAAATCTTGCGAGTCATATTTGGAGATGAACCAGCGGTGATTTGCTATCTTGGTAATTTTCAGATACTGAAAAGGAATTCTTTAAGTGATTTGCGAGTCATATTTGAAGATGAACCAGTGGTGATTTTACTATTTCAGGAAGCACAAACTACAACCTCTGTTCTGTGGCTAAAACATAGATTTCACTTCCTTAATTGAGAAGATTCACAGCATAGTGCAGCACCAGAAAACAAGCCTTAAGAAAGAAAGAAAAAATTCAAAATGAACTTGTATAAGTTCCAGGGAAACATACCATTCAAGCCAACTCTTGACCACTGCCTGTTGTCAAGAACTAAGAACCTGCTTGCTCATCTTTCCATGCCCAGAGCCTAACTTTAACCGCGAGGTGGCTACAAGCTGCCACACATGCACATGAAAACATTCTACTCCCTCCGTCCCATAATATAAGAGCGTTTTTGACACTACGGAGGGAGCCGGTACTAAGATTGAACCACATGTCACAAACTGATTTTCTACTTCTTGGCAAGTTAAAAGCATATTAACACCGAAACTAAGCAAACCACAGGTTAGTGCACTTGACAACTGAAAATCAGAATCGGCAACATCCCCATCAGGCATACCCAACAAAGAGATTATGTGAACAGCTAGAACAACTAACTTAGTGTTCCTGAAAAAATTCAGTTACTCAGTTACCATAGTTCTTCCTGCTAAAAAGGATCGATAGACCTTGAAGGCTTGATGTCATGCCTTTGTTTTATTTGTCTTTTTACTCTTTGTAATAATTACATGTGTGCAACCTCGATGTCTCGGCCAGCTCTTGACACTGTGTTGTTGCAGAGGTGGGGTGTACTTGCTATCATCTTGATATTAATACATTACCCTCTAGCTAAAAAAGGTAGATAGAAAAAGAGCCTTCAAAAAGACATTTGCTGACAACCTGTAAAATCAATGTCTACTCCATCAACGAGTATAACATAACCATATTATCCAATTTGCTGTTGGAAGAAGAAAGAGATACAGGCTGTAGTCACCAAGCAAAGAGAATAGAGATAAACAAACACTGATGCAATGGTTCCAATTAGATATCGAATAACCATGTGGCACAAAAAAATCATGTGTTGTAGATTCGACTCATATGATACGGTGCTGTCTGGTCTTGTATGCAGTTTGGGGTTCAAGCTGGAGCAAATCATGGTGATAGTTGGGTTCTAACTTGGTGGTCATTGTGATATTAGTGCCATAGACCTACTCGATGAATTACTCCCTCCGATCCATAATAGGTGTCACAATTCTGAACTAAGGTTGAACTAATCTTAGTGCAAAACTGCGAAACTTATTTTGGATCAGAGGGAATACTATGTAATAATAACTGTAAGACAATCAATTTTGTAGATTGATATGAATATAGGACGCACAAAATAGGACAGTACAAACAAGTAAAACAATTTGGATGAAGGGTATTCTTCAACTGTAGGAGCAATCAAGCAACAAGTAAAACAATTTGGATGAAGGGTATTCTCCAAATGAATGGCACTGATTAGAAACAACAAGAAAAGCTTTAACAGCGGTAGGGCGTAGCAACTTTGAGTGGATCAGGTCCTTCAGTTGAGCAGATTTGGGTGCATTTGCTGAAGCCAGCTGACGCAAAGCCAACCACCAGCATTTTCCACAAAACATGAAAAAGAAATAGTCGGCAAAAGCTCCTTATAGATATGAATAAAAAAGGAGATGAGAGGTTTCATCAAGCATGTCTTACTGCATTTGCACTCTTAACTATACATGCTTACCGCATTGCCAGTACTGCGAAATGCCAGTGTTTCAAAACATATAATACCTACTAACATCTGCACGGAGTGTAACAATTATCCAGATCTTCCCAAGAATCCACAATGGATCAAATCAAGGAAGACTGAAAAAATCAATATGTAGTTGATTAGCATGCCAAAGGATAAAGTAAACCAGAGCATGGTAAAGGAAGAACAGGAACATGCAAACTCAGGAAGAAAATATTACTATTGTCATTCATCACAGGGTTTACACTTTACAGTACATCCTTCAGAAGAATCAGTCCAAGTGATTCTGCCTGCCAGACTTCAAAATTTAGGAAGGACTCACTATCTAAATTGCAAGTTTGAGAAAGACAAACATAATTTCCATTCATCTTGTCTGCAGAAAGAAACAAACACTTTAAGTAATATTATACTCCCTCCAATCCGTATTAATTGACGCAGCCTTTATACAATGTAAGTAAGACATGCATAGAGGCTGCGTCAATTAATTTGGATCGGAGGGAGTGGCATGTTTGCATTTAGGTGGATGCATGTGGCTAAATCTTTATATCCTGTAATAAATCTGGACACGGCCATGTACTGTTTAGACAATGAAAATTGGAAACAAACCCAGAGAATCTTGCCTGTCAATAACAGGTTGTATGCAGCGAAATACCACTATTTCTGGGTAATAAAACTTTCAACTCAATAATTTGGACTTGCAGCATAAATTATAACATTTACAACTGGAATCTGAAATCTTTCAAACTCAGGAAATTAAATGATTCAACAAAAAAAGTTGGCTACATCCAGAATGCCACAGGAGTGGAGCATATCTCATTAAATTCATGTCCTTCAGTCATCTGGTAGGAGCACGCCGTTTGCCGTGTCGTCCTGAGCTCTCCATTTTTATCATACTTGAGACCAAACTTGGTGACGCGCAGCACACAGCAGCGCGGCCCATCAGGGGGTCGAAAAGGCTGCTGGTCCTTGTGCAGGCGAGACTCGATCAGGCAGTAGTCGCTGATGCCGCCCAGGTAGAGAAGGGTGGCTCCTAGGTGCCTGTCATCATCTGCATTGAAGAGCTGGTCCTTGCCGAGCTTCCAAGCCGGCATGATTGACATTGTAGCGTAATCAGCCAGGGGCGGGGCGTCGCAGGAGCAGACGTAGCCGCCGCCGCCTTTGTGGCAGCATAGTCCTATCCAGGCATCAAGCTCGTCATCAAAGTAGGCCTGACCTTTGAAAGGCATGACCCAGTTGCCTAGGGTCATCCAGGTGGAGCACTTGGTGTCCAGGCAGAAGGTTCTGGCTGCTTGGGAGACGAAAAGCAAACGGTCGTTGGGATGCACTGCAAAGGACACGACATCACCGGAGTTGAACGGAACTAAGATCTTTGGGCTTCTAATCCAAGACCACTGTTTGTCTTCATCATTTCCGGGGGGTTGCAGGGCATCGAGCACAATCGTGGAGGATCCCACTGTCAAGTAAAGCTCGCCAGCGACAGATGCAAACAAGGGCTTGGATGGTAGACTACTGCCGCCAGGATGGGGGCAGAGTGTGAGCCCCAGCGTTTTTGTGTCGAATATGGGGAAGGCGCCTGTGGCATCACAGTGGACTGGCATGGCGAGTATGCTCGTGCCGTACGCGCCAAAGTGCGACAGGCGGCAGTGGCGGCCGTAGAAGCGCACGACAGGGGGATCTGGTAGGGGCTCCGCTTCGTCATCGTCATCCAGGTCGGCGCCGGCGTCAGAGTACATGGCGTCGATGTCTATCTTGCGGACGCTGTATCCACTTTCCCAGTCATCCACCACGAGATAGACATGCTGTCGCAACTGCTGCAGCTGCGACGGCGGCGGCCGCCGCCGCTTGGCTGTGTGGCAACACGGCTGAAGAGTCAGCTGCCGCTTTGACATGCCGTCGAGTTGCTATGCCCCTCCTCTCCGGCGGTCCTGTGTTGCAAGCCGGCGAAGTGATCGAGCCCGTAGAGTAAGAAATCAAGACCGGCTGGACATATAAATAGGCGAAAGAAGATGGTACCTGAATTCGAGTCAGATTGGCTCAGGCAAAAATTCCCCCCGCGAAGGAATCCGCCATCGGATTGGACTCAGGGAAACGCCTCCCCGCCAATCCGACTCCCAGCTGGCGGCGGCGGGGGAGGGAGATTGGGGTCGGGGGGGCTGCGGCGTTGTGGCGTCCCTCTATACATTTGAGAACCCTAGGCCGCGCGTGAGAACCATCACGGCCACTTTCAGGTAACCGTCACGGCCACTTAAACAAATGTTGTTTTTTAGTTGGCCGATGTTCATACAATTATTACGTTTCTATATAGATTATCTCGTTAGGACATCCCGACATTCAGTTGTCGGAGGCACAGATTGACCGGTCCCTAGAGGCATATATTCTTTGGCTGTTCGGCAAGACAGTGTTTACGGAGAACCACGTGACCACTGTCGATGCACGACTCATCGGTATTGCACGAGAGATAGCTGACGCACATTGCCCTGCGGATATTCTACAGAGGAGTTTTTGTTCTGTTGTGTTAGCGGCTACGTACAGAGGCCTGTGCAAAGCTTGCTTGTTGAAGTCTAGAAAATCTAGTCTTGTTGGATGTCCATTATTGTTGCAGCTCTGGTCATACGAGAGATTTCCTATTGGACGACCCTATGTCTACGTTGATAAACCTTTTGGTTTGGAGGACTTAGCTGGGACTTATGTGCCTGCTATCAGCGACTTACCTTCTATGGGATCTGTTTGGACACGGCGAGAGGTACTTTTATATTAAGTAATAATTAATTCAATTATTTCTTGCCATTCAATAGTATTACTAATGCTTATTTGTTGTCATGCACAGAGACAGTTTGCGCATACTCTGGTTAGGGGATGCTACCCGTCCTTCATGGCGAGTTTGATAGTTTGCACGAGGATCAAGTTATTTGGGAGCCATACTCGCCTCAAGCTATATCATCGAGGTACCCAGTTGGGATTTCTGGATTGTGCACTAGAGATCGGCACTTTTGGATGACCAAGACCAAGTTGGTGTTCGACGTGACGGTTGAGGAGATGTCTCTTCATAGGGTGATGAGACAGTTCGGTCTATATCAACAGCCTGAGATTCCAGATATTCCACACTTGCCAGACACGTGCACAAGTAAGTACTAATACTATTTTAGTTGGCAGCTCTGCATTCATAATATACCTAATCATGTATCGCGCATGTCAATCTCAGGGACAGTCGCCTAGGAGGAAACAAGTCCATGGCTTATTGGCTTCAGAGCATTACCCCTTACATTGAAGAATGGACTACCGCTGCGACAAATATCTGGGGTGAGGTTCGGCCCTTTAACTGGGAAATGTTCGGGTTGTATCTGCAGCGTTACCGGCATACAACGAGGATCTACTTGGTTCCATCAGCTGCTCCTGATCAGATCGAAGCCCCTCTCACCAGCGATATGTATCCAACTGCCTCTGTTGTGGGAAGCAGACACCACGCGGTAAATGCCTTGGTTCTCATATGTTAAGTCTTTTGTTAATCTGGACATATTCGCTTGCTTGTCTATTCGTGGTGTCTATCATACAACGAGGATATAATTGGTTAACTCTTTGTGTACAGGGTGACTTGACACTACAGGCGCGAGAGGAGGTTTCCGCTTTAATGCGGCGCTTTCAGAGGGGAGAAACTATCCCACCGCGAGAGGGCGTCTCATGGTTGAGGCGTCTTGATGACAAGCTACGCGGGATTTACACAGCTGTTACGTGTAGACGGACTTCGGATGTTGCACTTCCTCCTTCAGCACATCGTCCGCCACGTCCCTCTGTACAGCATTCAGAACCACGACCCTCTGTGCACCGTTCAGAACCACGACCCTCTGTGCACCGTGCAGAACCTCATCCTTCACAGCCAGGGAGATCTTCCTGGCCTGAGCCACCTCCTTCGCAGCCAGGGAGCTCTTCGTGGCATGAGCCACCTCCTTCACAGCCAGGGAGCTCTTCCTGGCATGAGCCACCTCCTTCACAGCTAGGGAGCGCTTACTGACATCAGCAGATGAATCTAGGTAACACTACTCACTACATTCTTTTGAACAGTGTAGTAATCGTTCTTGCATTCTCAGCAGTCACTGATGCTTACTGGTGGTGCTTCGTTCATGCATTTGTATCAATTTTACTTTACCGCAGGCGGCAACCAGTCGCAACCGTTCATGCATTCAGAGCAGTCACCGATCCTTAGTGGTGGTGCTTCGTACTTTGAGGGCGACCGCGAGGATGATGACCAAGCTACAAACATTTATGGCTTCTCGTAGACAGTGTTTCACACTCCACCACCACCACCGACGCAGGAGACACATACCGTGACAGACGAGGTTAACTATGGTCGTGGTTATCGCGAGCCTCGTCCACCGCCTCAGCGCTTATCGCCTTCCAGTCCTCGCCCGAGGAAGACCCAGACTCGTCGTCGTCCCCCGCAGTGATATGCTTATCTATCTATGTATGACTCATTATCTATGTTAGTTTCAGACTATTCACAGCTGTGTGTCAGTATTTATGTATGAGACATGCTTCATGTATGTGTTACTATCGCACTTGCTTCTATGTGATCAGGAGACATATATTGTTTTATGTATGCGAGAGACATATTACTATTAATTCGCATTCTTATTCCAGTTACATTTCCAAATAGACTACAACCGATAATTAAGATACAAGTACATCTGAATTAAACGGTGCGGCTGAACTTGTGCAATACATCTTACATACTACAAAATGAAATTCAGTAGAACATAATGCCCTACAATAATACAATACAAACTAATAATGCAAATACATCTGAATGAAACGGTACAACTGGAATACATCTTACATACTACATGAAGTCATCATCGTCATCCTCCGTTGGTGCAGCCCTCTTGCCCTTCGACGATGCGCTCCTCTTGCCCTTCGACGATGCGCTCCTCTTGCCCTTCGTCGATGCAGAACTCTTGCCCTTGGTCGATACAGAACTCTTGCCCTTCAAGGATGCAGAACTCTTTTCTTTGGACAATGCAGAACTCTTGCCCTTCGACGATGCAGAACCCAGAAGCGGCGGCATGAAGATATCATCGTCGTCCTCGCTCTCCTCAGTCCATAGAAATGGATGCTTTTCTGCAGTCCTTCTGAAAGTTTCACTCTTCGGCTCCACCACCATCTTCCACCTTTCATGCAACCTAAGAAGTTCTTGACGTACCTCCTCATAGGTCCTTTCAGGCCACCCAGACCTACGTAATTGGTGAGCCAACTCATTCATTATGGTGTCACTACCGGTGAGTTCGTCCCATGGAACTATCCTATTGTCCATCCTGAAATCGGTAGCTAGACTCAGCAGAGTGCTGCTCATCTCAGGGTGAAAACTACGATCGAATGGATAATGGGACATCTCGACTACACTACACTGGAATGCTTATCCACCTCCGCCTGAAGGGGGTTTTATAGATACAGAGGAGAAAATGGCGGGAAAGAATAACTGCGGTATGGCGGGAAAGGGTTGGCGGGAAGGGATTGGCGGGAAAATAAGGCGGGAAGGGATTGGCGGGAAAATAAGGCGGGAACGGATTGGCGGGAAAATAAGGCGGGAAGGGGTTGGCGGGAAACGGGTGGAGGGAACATATGGCGGGAAGGGGTTGGTGGGAAACGGGTGGCAGAAAGAGGTGGGCGGGAAACGGGTGGCGAGAAAATACATTTCAGCATGAGCCATGCAACTTCGGCCTAGGCTTGACCAAAAAGTGACTTTTCGGCCTAGACTTGACCAAAAAGTCTATTTCGGCCTAGAGTTGACCAAAAAGTGCCTTTTCGGCCAGGAGATGGCCGAAAACAATACTTCGGCCTAAGTGTGGCCGAAAAGTACTACTGCGGCCAAAGGATGGCCGACGGGCTACTAGTTTTGGTTTTTTTGCATTACGTCCTATAGTTTCCGAAATTGCTACAAAAAATAACATAGTTTTGAAAAAAAATCGAGACAATAATAATAAGAAGAAAATGTGGGCCAAGATTGATAATTTCTCATCTTGTCAGTTCTCTGACTGTATTATTTTTATGAAAGAAACAGGCACTATAATTTGCAAGACACGGGGAAGTGAAAAATATGAGCTCATGTTTCTTTAGAATTTTAGAAAAAGTGTGTTTTATCTTGATGTTTAAAATTAGGGCAATGATTTTTTAGAAGTCCAATTGAGAAAGGTAACATGATGTTTTTTCAGCGGTCCACACAGATTGATGAGTTCACAAGGAATTTGCCTTTTGCAACCATAAGATTGATGAGGACCCGGAACGCATTGAGTGTAGAGCTGGTAGTATGACATCAAATCTTGAGTTAGTTAATTACATGCTATTTGAAATTTTTTGTTGTCCATACTTCACCCCTTTATATCCGCTGATTTTATGTTAATCACAAAGATTGAAGGTCGAGATTTAATTTTTCTTCCATCCGCCGTTTCCTTATGATAGACATAGACCAATTCATCCGATAATATTTTTGTTTGTGAAAAGCTAGACCCGAACCAGGATGACAAGTTCATAGACGGCAGCGCACCAACCAACTAACCCAAGAACTGTTTTTGAAAATTTTAAGGAAGATGACTTCTTATTGGTGACGCAAGTTTTCTTTAAAACAAAACTTCCCAGCCCAACGAAAACAAAGTTTGGGCTGACCTCCCGATACCCCAGTTTGGGCTGGACACGGTCGTTCTGCACTTTGTTCTCTTTCCTTTTTTTTCTTTACTTTTTCTATTTCTGTTTCTATTTCTTTTCTTTTCTTTTTTCATTTTTCCATTTTTCTTTCTTTCTGCTTTCGTGTATTATACAAATTTCATTGCATGTTTTATATACAAAAGTGTTTATCGTATTTTTAAGGAAATGTTCACCCTATATTGAGAAAATGTTCATC